TTATTCACTATTGTATCACAGGAGACTTATCCACATCTCCTTTCATCAGCCCCAACTAGGCAGAATAGATACTACTCAGTGGAGATTCTACCGTGCTCCCCTTCCTCTGGATCTGGGTTCCCTCTTGAAAGCTTGTAAGCCAGTCACTTCTTGCCTTTGTAGCCCCCCACGTCCCCCCATTCTGGGTAGCCAATGTTCAAGTTGCCCATCCCTGTCTACTCTATGTATGAAGCGGGTGGGAATGATCCTCTCTGTGAAGATTCGTTCAGTCTTTTGAGCTGCTGCTTCCATAGGTATACGTTGTATTGCAAGTTTTAAGGCTTGTATTTTCTTCAGTTCTTTAAGCTTGAGAAACACTGAACGTGTTGTTCCCTTTTGGTTTTCTGACCGCCTGGTCTATGCGTATTTCAGATTAATACTTTGTCTTCTGGAGCTGCCCTTTGAATGTTCTGTTCAGCTCTTTTACTTACTCATTTCTTCCAGTCACTTCTCCATGTTCAAGAGCAAATCTCACAGTCTCTACTGACATCCACTTGGGTTTTTCTTTCTTTTCTGCCTTTTTAATGATCTGTTGCTGTTTTCCTGTACGTTGTTTTTGGTGTCATCCTGCAACTCCTCTCTTCTTCAGTTGTTAATGTCTAATGCATCAAATCTGTTATTGGGAGGGTCTCTTAAGTTTCTGTGGGATATATTCAGGGTCACAATTTGGTTCTTGTGGACTTGTTTTTCTTTTCTAGCATTACAAAACTGCATTTGAATATGAGCAACAGTTGACTCTTGGCGTCTCTTGGCTGATGCTACTAAGATTCTCCATCATCTCCTTTAACAGATGTCGTTAATATGAATCCTGTGTGTTCCATCTGGTGAGGTCCACATGTATAGTCAACATTTATGTTGTTGGTGAAAGATAATTACAATGAATAAGTCAGTGGCCTTGCATAATTCTACAGTGCAATCTCCAGCATCATTTCTGTCACCGAGGCCATGTTTTCCAACTACTGATCCTTCCTCTTTGTTTCGAACGTTTGCATTCTAATTTACCAATACATCTTAATTGCATGTTTGATCAATTTCAGACTGAACAAGTTGATAGAATTCTTCAATTTCATCGTTGACTTCAGTGATTGATTCATAAATGTGAATGGTAGTTGTATTACATGCTCTTCTTTATAGCTCTGTGGATACTCTCCTCTCACAGGCAGCATTGTACTTCCAGGTAGATCTTTATAGGTCTGTGGATACTCTCCTCTCACAGGCAGCATTGTA